ATGGACTTTGATTCCATTTCTGTGMATACAGCTGTGGGTAGATCTATACAGGAGCAAGGAGGATCATTAAGTAAGCAGGTACGTGGACAGATTTTACCATAACTAAATCAAAATCTGGTCCCTTTCTGAATGTTTATGTCTCTCATTTCTCCACAATTTTTTTCTCATTCCCTGATTTTCTCTGTGACCAAAAATAAAAATTCCGAAACCCAGTGGAAAATCAAAATCTGGACACCTCTGTTTTAATCCAGGAAAAATTACTCAGAAAGTGTCTGAGCAYTGTCAGGTCACTGCCTTGAATAAGAGCCTAAATTTTGATGCTTATCCCAACTCCACCATAACTATTAGGACAACTAGATTGCAATCCTGACACTTGTTTCTGTTGTCAGAGAGTCTGGAGAAGCAGCACTCAGGGGTGTGGGTGATTTTCTGCTCCATCCCAGGGCAGGGTCTGACCCATCCCACAGGAACAGCTCAGCTTCACTGCCAGGCCCTGGTCAGTGTTWAACTACAGAGAGGGAAATGTGAAAACATGACAACATCAGACAAACCCCATGACCTTTCACAGATGCACTTCCAGGAGGAATGTTGCAGGTGTTTATCGAAAAAAAAAAGAAAATAATGACAACAAGAAGGCTGGGGGATCAGCTGTGTAAATGAGCATTGAGAAAGCGTCTAATATATTATTCTGTAATACAAAAAGAAGAAATCTGACTTGATTGCCCTATTATAAATTTGCTAAAAATACAGATATATATTTATATTTTTATATATATATAATTTTCTTTTAAATCTGAACAGAAAAATAGACTACTCTGGAATGCATGAAAGTCACACGACTTTTCCATACATCAGATACTTATAAAGCCAACACAATGGCAAGCAGGAAGTACAGAGGTAACCAGAACATCTGTACTTTATTCAAGAACTATTTAAAGCCATATTCTCCCCAGGTGGGTGATCCAAAAGCAAGCCAAGGTAACCCTTGTTGTGTGTGCTCAGCATCAGCAGCAGTGACAGTCACACAGCCCCGGGAGCTGGCTCGGCTCCTTTGCTCTGGAATGAGGTGTTGTGTGGAGTTACCAGCAGAGAAAACGTGGCTTTAGAAACCTTGACTTTGCCATGAGTTTGACATAACCTCGTTATTACTATAAACTGTACCGGTCATAATTCTGTCAAGACATAAATATACAGTAGGTACAAATATTAACAATACATTACAATTTTACAGAAGAGAATACTGYTTTCCTTAGAAATGTGTATCTTATTAGCTGCAAGGAAAGAAAAGGCTACAGTTTATCACAGCCATAGTTCCACACACCCTGACCACTCCGATGTGTTTCTCGCACAGGCAGATTTCCCCGGCATTTCACACACAGCATGTTCAGGAAGGAAATGTGCGTTCCACCCATTTGCTTTTCCTCTCTCTTGTTATTTTTCCTTTTTTTGGCTCTCAAACCTTTCAGAAAAATGTGGATTTCACAAAAGATTCTTTTGTTTTGGGTTGGGTTTTTTTTTTCTGTAAGTGTGCTTAGGTGAAGTTTTTAACAAAAGGCACTGAGAAATCTACTGCAAAATCACTGCTTTTTCCTCTGTTCGAGGTTAAAACTCAAAGAATCTTTGCCTCCTGGTTGAGAAAACTGCACCCTCTCCTTCCATGTATATATATATATATATATATATATACACACACACACACACATATATATATATACACACATAGATATACATATATATATATGTATGTATTAAAGATGATGTTGAAATGGTGTAAGATACAAGCAGTGCAGCCGTCCCACACACACAGAGTCCTTTCAGGTGTGATGTCTTTGCACAGCAGTGATGCTCTGTCTCTCTGTCTCTTGCTTGTTGGTGCATGGTAAATTTGCAGACCTGAATGCCAAATATCAGAGATTTGACCCCATGCCTCAGCTCGATGCAAAAGATATTGCCTGTTKTCCCCAACTGCTATGAGCTTGGGAAACCTCTATCAAACAAACAAAAATTAAACTGTCTTTCTAGGATCCACAGGATTTGGTGATGTTTCCAAAGCACTGCTTTTCCTCTGCAATGAGTACAGATTTACCACAGCTTTAGGTTAGAGTAGATTTCCCAGTGCTKACATTATATATATGTGTATTACGCACACACACACATATATAGATACATACTTTGTATTCAGAGTTTATTTCCTTAAAATAAATTAAACATACTTCCTTTCTAATTGGGCACAAAATGAGAGCTACATCTTCATACACAAATAAGAAAGAAATGCTCTTCAAGCATATTATATGCTTMATTTAAAATTATTTGCTTTCTATAAGAAATCTATAGGACTTTGGCTATTCAGACTTAAAAGGTAGATTTTTAATAATACTTTTGAATTTGGCTTTCAAAAGTGACTCAGTAAAATGCTACTTTAAAGGTAGGACTAAATAGATGACATAAGGTGTGTGTCGTGAGTGATCACACGAGGCAGACAGAGGGCCTTTGGTTACAAGGAGAGTTGCACCAGTTGATTATCAGATAAAAAATGATAGAATTGTTGATTTACACATTTTTGTCAGTGCCATCTATAAACCAAATACATCAATTTGGATGAGTGTGGTAAATACTACACTATATGGCTATATTTAAATACGTTCACTTTTGTGATATGTAAAATATGACTTTTTTCCACACGAAAGCATCAGCTCTAAAAATATTTAACTTGGAAATCACAATTATTTTATTTAAAAAATTTCCCTGATTTTTCTTCTTTTTACATTTGTGCTGATGGCAGACACGACCGATCACCGAAACACAGAGWTTATATTAAAACTGTTCTCTTTAAGATTTCTCGTTGCCACTCTTGGCCTCAGAAAACCACGGCATGAGTCAGTATTTAAAGCTTATCTGCTGGAAAGTTCCTTTAGTTTTTTTGTGACGACTCAGTCTTTGCTAGTATCTCAGCAACACATGGGCTCCTCTAAGTACACTTGTATTTCCTATGGCCAAATCCTAAAATCCTTCACCGCTCAGAGGAACGCTGCTTTGGGTGAGGGAGTGAAAGCGAACAAACCTCAGAAATGTCCCTGTGTGGTACCTGGGGAACTTCACCTGCACTG